CTTTTTAAAAAGGTTTCTTTTGGTATTATATGTCATAAAATATTCTTGAATTTTGTTTCTAGTAAATGAAGTCACCTAACTATTCAAATGTACAGCAAATTTTGGTACAAAAGAAGTATTGCAAACCAATTTAAGCAGTAATAGACCACAAACTTGCGGTTGTATTCTAAGAAGTCAGAGTAAAGATGTGTTCAGTATTATATACCTACAGTGTATCCAAGATAAGTATGAACAGCATGGAGAAATCGGAAAGCATAAGAGATATACCTACAATCGGTTAAATTAGAAAAAAGTTGCGTATGTTAGGGCTTAAAAAATTCAGAAATTACGATCAGTTCTGATGATATTCGAAAATAAACGAAGTTAACTATATTCGTTTTGAATTTTTCTGACCCTGTTTGAAAAGGTAACAGACACAGAGAACACTCACTTTTTAAGCTATACAAGATGGTGCCCACTAGTGCTGGGCGATAAATGAAATTGTGTTTAGTCCGATAATTATCGATTAATCGTTAATCGATAACTTTTGTTAACAATCGATAATGATTGCTATCGCTGCGTCGATAATAATCGATTATGATGGACACCTGTCGAAAATTGGCGATCTCTGATAATTACCGATTAATCGATAAGTAGCTATAATTATGGAAAGAAAGCTGTCCACACCTTTTCATAAATCTTATCGATATAAATATCTCAATCGATATAACTAGTTAACTACATCGTCCATGCGTACACTCGCTACCATTTTTGCTTTTTTGGTACTGATATTGCGAGAGATAACTTAAATAAAAACAGGATCTTTTGAAAAATATTAAAACAACTGTAGGTATGCCGAAGTTTTCTGAAATTAAAGGTGATCAAGTAGACGATAATCCTCAAAAATTGGATATGTATGTATAGATTTATCGACCAATCCTTTAAAATGCACAAATAATTGATAAATTTTTCAATAATTTTCCATACATTATCGATTAATAAACCATTTTTCTTTAATTTATCGACTATCACTTAATCGATAATTATCGATAAGTTATCGATTAATCCTTTTTTGCACAGCACTAGTGCTCACAGATTTTCACTGCGACGTTTCGTCTTTGAGAAACCATCTTCAGCTTCATATTTTTATATAAATAAGAAAATAACTACATACTGTATTGAGTAGGATTTTTATTACGAATACAACGATGTATGGCACAATATCATTCTTTATTATGACATTTACAGCAACCATCAATGAATGATTTTGACATGTTGTCAACGTCTACTGCACCAAAACGTTAAACATTGTTTATTATATATAATAGCATACCTAATAAAGAATCATATTGTGCCATCTATCATTGCATTCGTAATAAAAAATGCTATTCAATACAGTGTGTACTTTTTTCCGATCTATATACACATATGAACTTGAGAATGGTTTCTCAAAGACGAAACGTCGTAGTAAAAATGTGTGTACACCATCTCGCAGAGATTAAACAGAGTTTATGAGGTAGTGTTTCTTTTCAAACAGGGTAAGAAAAACAAATTATTGTTACTTTCGGTTTTTTTTCGAATATCCTCGAAACTGATCGGAAGTTTTTAAAACATCATTTTACTAAGCCCTAAAATACGCAACTTTTTCCCAATTTAACCGACTCTGTGTATGTCTTATGGTTTCCGATTTCCCCATGGTGTTCATTCTTATCCTAGACATACTGTATATGCAATCCGATTTAAAATTTTTCTTAACCACTTAAAGCATCGAGATTGAGTACGTTTATAATATTCAATTATAATATAAAAGTATATAATTACAATATATTATGGGAAATCCCTAATTGCATACTGCAGTATTGAAACCGGTGCTGAGACTGCAGAATTTTTACTTACGACAAAATTTAATAAAATTCTAAATAGGACAAGCACTTTTAATGACTTACTTGCATTTACTTGAGAAATTTTTCAAAATGAAAAATTCTCTTATGTGCTAGTTTTATTCTTTGGCCCGTCTGCCGATTAAGCCGTTATTGTTGTTACTAATTTTTTTAAATTTTATTCTGAGGAGAAAGGGTATAACGGCGAAATCATTAACGTTAAGGGTAAAGCATGTTATAATTATATGAAAACATACGTACTTTTGAAGTACTTTTCAAATCTGTAATAAAATAGGGGGGAGGGGGGGGGTTGTATTTTAAAAAAAATATACGCCACTGGAATATGCACGCCACTGGTGATCAAAAATATTTTAGAAACATGGCTTTTGCTCAAAGACCTTTTTCTGTAGATTTTACGATAAAGGAATTATGATCTGAGGGCTCTTAGATGTTACATTAAAAATTCTAGCGCTTTGGATTCTACAGGTAAAAATCTACAAGAAAAGTTCTTTTCGGGTTGAAGTAAAGTTTGTTGATTTTTGTAATAGTTATTTATTATACAAGGGAAAAGGTATTGGATTTTAGCTCGAAGTTGTGTGGTCCCAAACACACAAAAAACCGAGATTTATAAAATTCTGTATGTTTTGGATTTTACAGGACAAAATCTCCAAGAAAAAGTTGTTTTCCGGTCGGTTTCGGACAAGTCACAAAAATGCAAATAAGTCGAATAATCACAAAATGGAATGACAATGTTCATAGTTTCAAAATTATGAGGAAGACTTTGAAATTGAGCTCGTAAAAGTGTATCTCCTATGCATATTATCTAATTTTCTATCTAAATCAGAAAAAATATTTCGAATTACATAGGCATAAAAATACGGAAAATTGACCACACAGCATAGTGTAGGTATACCTTGAAGGTATTAATAAATTTGAATTAGACGAATGGTAATAAGAAATAAAAAAAATGCGGACATCCGTGTTAACACTGTGCGGAAATGAGTAGGACGAGGAACTACGCACAATCTGATTTGATTGACCGAGTTTATTTATTTAAATTAATTACCTTGCCAACACAAATGTAAACTAAATCAATCAAAATATACGCAACTTTAAGACTTTAAGTAATTAAAAAGTGGATTGATGTCCTTCTGCATCCTCGTCCTCGGGTTTGTTACTTTTGGAATGTTCTAATTTAGAAAGGTACTTGTAGTACTTAGGGATAAGTGTGATTCATTAATAAAGATTTTTAGAACTTATTTAAAATATGTCAAAAGAAATCAACTACTAAACTATCCTGTAAATTGTTAAATCTTTCGGAATACAAAATGAAACGAATCAAAATTACAAAATGCCGTTTTTTAGCAAACCCCCCTTCAATTCCATAACCAACATAAAAGATGCTACACATAGGTACTTTTGATCGCTTGTATAATGGGTATAATGCGACTGTAAATAACAAATTTGGGAATGTAAATGATAAATCAATACTAGTATTGTAAATTTTTGAACAAACGGAGAACAAGGTTGTAGCAAGGATATTATTCCGGGAGAGGATTGTTTGTGTAGTTCTCAGATACACGCACATTTTGAGACTCATTTTCGGCTAGTTTTTATTTTTCGAGAAGACCGTCGATTTCCATAGCGCCACGACGACGGCACAGCACGATGTTGGTTTCAGATGGGCTCTTCTTCAACCAGTTCAAGTGAAGTATTTCAGTGTAGGTACAACCTCAAAACTATTGACACCTATTACGTTACGTAAATTTCAGGAGGGACCCCCATAATGACTTGGTCTCTCTTCCTGGAAACCTTAAAGACCATCCATGGGGTCATTATGCGGACTTTTTTTATAAACTAGTTACGATCCGTCGAAATCTTTATTTTTACTTTTTAACTCTGATTTGTGGTATATGTTTTATGTTCCAGTGGGCGGAGTTTCAGCAAGGGTTACTCTTTTAACCAGAAATGCCATAAACAAAACAGAAACAAACCAGGGATTCCTGTGGTCGTAGTAGAGCATCTACCCAAATACGCTCGACTGGCCGGTTTCTATGTAATTCGAAAAAAATTGGAACGTTTATAAACGACATTTTCTAGAAACGATCCGTCCCATAAAAGTTCAAAAACTGATTGAGAGAATTCGAACAAATTTATTTGAAAACCTTCATTGATATGAAATCTTTGACTTCTTATAGCTTCTCTCTGGAATATTCCCTGAAACCTTGTTGATAATTTTGCTATCGTCTTCTGCCTGATGGCTTATACTTCTTAAAATACTACATTCCAAATATAAAAATATTTTAAACCTTTTTCGAAAGCTATTTCGTATCTTCTAAACAGTTTCTTTTCAAACATATAATAAAGATTGAGTTTGGAGTCTTCCTCTAATTCTAGGGAAGTCTAAGGGAATTTTACTATAGATCTTCTGAGAAGCGAGGTGGGTAATTTCATAACTAACCATTTTGTGCAATATTATATATGTTTTTACACTCACAATTAAATTAATAGAGTTGCATATCTTGTTAACTCATTGAAGTAGATTTTAATCTGAGACAAATTAACTGCATTATAACACTTCCGAGAAAATGTAGTATTAAAAAAAAAGTGGTTTCAAGTTGAATGCTAATTTGTTCTTCTTATATGAACTTCGCTATACAGAAAAGTGCTATAGACTTTTTTTTCATGGTTTCATAAAAGTCTAACACTTACAGTTTCTGTATAGCAAAGTATTTCGCAATCCCAAAATGGAGCGGAAGGGGAAACGTTATCTAGAGCTTTTTGGGAAGTGGCTGATGCAACATTATCAAGATTTACTTATAAATGATTAAAAAAAAACACGCACTTTGCGAAGCAGAAATCATTTCTATATTTAAAAAATCTGGTTTTTTGGGCCAAGTAGAAATATTTTAGATAATCCTTTCCTAAAAACACCGATTTGTTAAGAATATGCCCAACTTTAAACGCGTACAACTTTTTTCACTTACACAATTACTTAGTGGTTTGTCAACATACGATGTGTTTAAAAAAAAAACTCGTGTTAAATGAATTACAATAATTAACCTGTCAATCGATTTAATTCTATTTTTAGTGTAGCTAGTCAGAATTATGATCCGACATTTTTCAAATGTGTTAGAATACCTTAGCCTACAACCCCGTATGCACGTTTCCATTATAAGACCAATACTCTACGTCGTTACATGCACTAGATAAGCAAACTGTTTACGGGTAAATAATTTTATTGAGGTGTCACACAATGATAAAGTATTTTAAAGATAAGTGAAACTTGAGATATAATTAACTATAAAATGGAAATGATCAGGACCAATGGCACCGACAGACTTACGAAGGCTACATACTTCTGGGTATGAAATTCCCAATCGCGACCGAAGATTGTCATTGCATCTTAACCGCGACACCCGACTTTTAAATTGCTATTATCAGTATCATGGGTTAGTTTGTTTTTAATAAATGTGACCGTTTTTTTCAAGTGATCTCTATTTGTGATCTTGTTTTAATTGTAGGATTGGATTTTATTGAGGGACCGGGCGAGGATTTTGAGAGAGCTTTGGAATGTGCTGGTAAGTAACACTGATATCTTAATTGATTAATTCGAAAACTCATCTGGCAGGTTTTGGAAAATTTCATTTTGCTCTTCTTACAATATGCGGCCTAATTTATTTAAATACGGCGATGGGAATTACAATAATCTCGTTCGTTTTGCCATCTGCACAGTGCGATTTTCAAATGACGTCAGAAGACAAGGGTTGGCTTACCGCAGCCCCTATGTTGGGTAAGCTGTATTTACGTTCGAAACAACCGCCGAAAATGCAATTTCAGGAATGGTTTTGGGGTCATATTTTTGGGGATGTTTAGCTGATACGAAAGGAAGAAAGTTTGTTCTAATAGGCGCGTTGCTTATGGACGGAATATGTGGAGTTGCATCGAGCATGTCGCAATTTTATTGGATATTTCTGATGTTTCGCTTCTTTAATGGATTTGCGTAAGTCCTCATATGCACAGACAAAATCTCATAGTCTAATTCCAATATGTTAGGATCACAGGTGCGATGGGAATTTGTTTTCCGTATTTGGGAGAATTTCAACCCAGTAAATATCGAGAAACAATTCTTTGTTGGATGGAACTATTTTGGACCGTAGGCGTTATTGTGTTGCCAGGTATAAAAACATCTTAATCGATATTCCTTATTGTCGGTACAAACACTTTTAAGATAATTAGGTAGTCACAATCTCCGTTTATGCTCATGAACAAATATGTAGAACCTACCTCTATTTGAGGTCTGGGTTATTAACGTTACCGTGATCAATAAATTGATAGGCATAGTCTTCAGGGTCACGTAAATGCATTTGTTTTTTATGCTTGTATTCTTCAAATTTAAAAATGTCAATATCACCAATAATTTAGATGCAACGTATTACAATGTCAGGGCCATTAAAGGCGACGAATGAATTAATTACCTATCCGGAGGTTACATGTAGCGAATGAACGACCTTTAATGTAAATTTGTGCAAATATCTACGAGTAAGTACCTATTTGTAATTTCTAGGAATTGCGTGGATTGTAATACCTATGCAGTTCGAATATGTAACGGACAATTTCAAATTTGCAAGTTGGAATTTGTTTGTGGCAGTTTGCGCATTGCCTAGCTTATTAATCGGTTTTTGGCTATGCTTTTTCCCCGAAAGTCCCAAATTTCTCCTAGAATGTGGGGAAGCAGACGAAGCACTTGAGGTACTACGAGAAATGTTTGCGAGCAATACAGGCGAATCCGTCGTCGATTTTCCGGTTAGTTTTTTGGTATAGCTGCAATGAACCCTATTTCAACTATTTTGTTTCCAGATTCGTAGTTTGCGGGAGAAAACTCGGAATATGAGCGTAATATCACAACAATCTACGCGAAGCATACGTAGTTTGAGGATTCGCAAACCAAAAGAGCTTCGGCTGCTTATTTTGGAAATTTGGGAGCAAACGAAGGCACTGTGTAAACCACCCCATTTAAAATATACTGTGATAACATGCCTCATACAGTTTGGTTTAACAACCAGGTAAGCCTTTCTTTGCTTTTACATAACAAGTACATAAAACGATTTCAGCTATTATACGCTTATGATATGGTTTCCTGAATTATTTTACCGTTTTGAAGAATTTGAATCTCTGTACCCTGGTCAAAGTGCAACCGTCTGTGAGGTATCTTCAGCTCTAGCTACCGGTGTTAATAGTACACTGAGTGAAGAATTCTGCAGTAATGAACCCATAGCGGACTCGGTTTTTTTGCACACTCTAACTATAGGTTTGGCATGCATCCCAACTAGTTTTTGGCTACCATTATGCGTGCATCGATTAGGAGTCAAATTTTTTTTAGGTAAACAAATTAAAACTTTTAACCATTTTTACTAATAAGTCGTACAGTTTTCAGTTTACTAGTCGCTGGTGGAGTTACCGGTGGTCTCTACTTCGTTAACTCGACAGTTACAAATTTAGTACTGTCTTGCATATTTGAAGCTTTCACTAGTTTAGGCATTAGTACCGTATACTGCGTGATGGTTGACTTGTTCCCTACAAACTTGAGGTACCTTCCAAATGCCACGATTTTACAGTACCCATCTGATTCTCTGCAATTTTAGAGTAATGGCGGCTGCTTTATCCCTTACCTTTGGAAGGGGAGGAGCTTTAATAGGCAACTTAATATTTGGATTTCTAATAGATCTGAACTGCATCGTACCGATTGCCTTATTCTCAATAATGCTAATAGGTACAAAACGTTTTGTCTATACAAATTTTACATTTGCTGATTTTAGTGAGTGGGCTACTCTGCTTGCTGCTGCCAAACACAGGAAAAGGGGCACTAGATTAAGTACGACGGCGGGAATAAAAGCTCAAGCTCTAGTTGAAATTATTTTTCTATTGAAATAATTTTATTTATTTATTTATTTTCACAATGAAATTTATAGCGAAGTGCATAGCACAACTTAATTGTATTGATTAAATTATTTATTTATTCTTAATTTAATATGTACATATAGGTATTGCACAATAAACTGTGACACGTTATTAAAAAGCACCGTCGGTAATAATGTAAATTGATATTCTCTCAATGATGCACTTATGATCAAAGATAAGTATGTACTACGTTTAATAGTAATAATAATAATGCCGAATAATCAAACCTTTTGCGTTAGGGCTATAATTCGATTAGAAAAGGACAATATACAATGATAGTCAAAAGAGTAAATATTAAATTTACCGTTCGAAAATTTGAATTAAAAAATTTGGGCTTGATCAATGAATTTTTCTGTTGCCTAGTCTAATAGGGAATTAATTACATTGGTGAATAATTTGATAGGTTGCGTAAGGTCAAGTCATTGAGAAATGCAAATCCATTCATTTTTTACGCATTTGGAGCCTTCAAGGGAAAATGAGTTCAATCAAACTGAAGGACTGAGACTATGAAAGGGTTGCATTTTCATACGGCATCAGCTCCGTTTTATGATCAATTGTGGATGCTGCAGTTATTCTATTTTTACTTAACACAATGTGGGATAATATAACATTCCACGAAGTTCCCGTTTGTAGAAAGCTGTCTTGACGATTGATATTTAGGGCTCCTACTTACGCACTATGTTTTTGAAATACTATGATAGGCCCTCACATTCAGGTTTCGTTAATTTTAAGCAAATGGGGCGACTTTGGTAATTGCTAGTCGAAATTTAACAACGATAAGCTTATTTATCCACTAATCGGTATTAGACGACCTTACTGTCGGCGAATTTCTCGCGGAAACCGTTGGTGTAGCGTCATCTAGCAAAGGTACTCCGAAAATGCAACCTACAGGAGAATAATACGGGGGAAAAATTGCAGGATAATGTTGCGAAGTTGGCGCGAAGTAATGGGGTGGAAACAGTCCTTGTCGTTGCGCCATCTTCAGTCGTGTTGTTAACTGTTTTTTCCATTTTGTTCTTCGATTTTGGAACCATGTCTTTATCTGTACTTCAGTCAAGTTTAGTGCCTTTGAGAGTTCCATGCGTTTGCTTACGCTTAAATATTTATCGATCTTGAATTCACTTTCAAGACGTTCGAGTTGTTTCGCGCTATAGGCTTGGCGTGGTTTTCTGTCCAGTCCGGGTTTTCTTGAACGTCGGTTTGTCGTTTTGGGCGCTGGAAACAGAAAAAAGGATGTTTATATTTCGTAGATTAACCATACATTGCTTTATTCTAGATATTCTTTCTTACAAAAATTAAAATAAGTCACTCAAACACACTGCAAGATTTGTTTATGGAACGTTGCCTCTTTAAACTTTTCCTTCTGTGATAAACGGCTGGTTAAGGGTCTCATTATTGATAATTACCTCCTTTCAAAATTTTTATTTAACAAAAAATCGGTGGTTCAGGGAAGGGTATAGGGATTATCTGTAGTAAGAATTATGAATACCATCATCAGTTGGTATCAGTTGTTTGTGCTGTATGGGCCCTCGCTTCGTCGTGTTGGAGACATTGAGGTCATATTTCGTCATTATCGTTGAGTGATCATATTTAATTACTCAATATCATTATGAAGTTCGTTGACCAAGTTTTCTAGTATTTGTTTCTGATACTATTCAACGGTGTTTAATAAAAAAAATGCGATGGCTAGTACAGATACCACCCGTACACCTGCGTATGTGTGATACGTATACAATGATAATAGTCTTTATTATACACCATGGAATAGATGTACCAAATTTGGTTTAAATCGGTTCAGCTCTTTAGCCAGAAATTATAGTAGACAGACAGACATACCGTCACACCGGAAGACCGACAGCCCGATCATCGAGATTCTGTTTGATTCGCATTTCTGCTGCTTCAAAACGTGTATGTCGGTCAAAAATATAGGTATCATTTTTTACCCCAATGCGGGTGGTAAAAAGTAGTTGTTGAAATCAATGTGGATGTTTTCAACGAAATCCGTTCAATAAATTGGATTGAAATCTGTGTTTTCTTAAATTTTCACACACTTTAGGGCTAGAACTAGTAAATAGACCGTTTGTTTAGAAAAATTGTCTCGGCTGTTATAAATCTTGCCATTCACAGGTAGTGCACCAGTAGCAAAGTTAACATTTGAAGGTTCCACCGAGGTAATTGGCAAATAAGTAACAGACAAATCGACGGAGGTGCTCAAGAAACTGAAGTCCATTGTCAGAGCTCAGTTTACGCATAACACCAAAGTGTTAAAGCACAATCTGAACCAGACCTCCAGAAATAAGATTGGCTGCGATGCTCAATGGAGGATGGTCAAAGAATGCGAGACTTACCAACTGCGACTCAGATATTGGAAGGATGCTTTTGGAAAGAAATGCTTCCGAGGAGGAACTGAATCTAGAGTATGAGAGCCAGAAATCCTAAGTCTTAACACACACTAGAGAGACACCTCGTAACTGAAGCTACACCGTCCGAGGGTGGAGATTACCACGAGAAAAAGTGAGTCAATAAATAAAGTACAGCAGAATGTGAATCAGTGAACTCCTTGTATCCTATTGAATACTTTGAAAGTTAATATTGTTCATGAAATCGTGAAAGCAGTCTCCGTTCGGATAGTGGAAAACCGGAAGTAAATACAGTATATAACTACTGGAGCGCGCAACGAGGAAATGCTGTAAAAATCCCACAAATATAGTTTTTGGTGGAAAGCTGTCATCACTAGAAAAGTACGATATGTTCGCATTAGAACTAATATCCTTTACACGGATAACGCAAGCGCTTAAGGTAAGAGCTTTTGGAAATATCAATTGTGTTGCTGAAGGATTTTGTTTGAATGGACGCCAAGAAAAGGGATGTAGGAAAATCCTCATCGGATATCCAGATTTTGCTCGGAAACGATTATTGGGGTAATGTCCTAACTGAGAAGCTGGTCTAACTGGACTGTGGACTGATGGTGACAGACCCTATCTTTGGATGGACCCTGGGAGACCGATTGCCGAAATTAACCATATCTACGGATAATACAATCGTTTCACTGCTCTCGACCCTGTCTGACATTCTGGCTTATGGAATCTGGAAACTATCAGCATAAAAGACTCAATAGGCAAGAAATCAGAGGCGAAGAACGACATGGATGCTAGAAATTTTTTTAAAGACAGTTCAGAGGGAAGGTATTGGAAGGTAGCACTCATGATTTGGCTAATTGGATTTATTGCCACATGTTGGATAAAATAAGGAGAAATACAACTGAAAATTAACTAATCGTATATCATTAGATGAGAAAAAAATCTCCTTTCGATTGGTGCCATTATAAACCCTCTGAGTTAACATGGGGAGCACCAATCTGTAAAAAACGTTTTTCCCATGGAAATTCCCTATGTTCGGTTTTAGAATATTCACCCGGTATGTAGCTATTTGCATAAGAGTCGGGAGAAATGGGGATGAAATATTAAAGTACTTTAATTTCCGAGTCAAGGGTTGTCATTTTATTGACGAATTTTGTATGAAATTTTTCATTCAATTTTCATATAGAACTTTAGATTAATACCAATTACCAATGTGCCAGTGATGACCTAAGCGATTAGACATTAACAATGTGAAAAGCGAGGCTGCATGAAAATGGAGTCTGGTAAAGTGCTAGGTGACAGGAAAAGTAGTCAGGAAAAGTGTTACTTACTGCCGCTGTCATGGAAACTAAAATTTTCTGACGGAAATGAGGGATGAGGGGTTTCATGGTCATTTCGGGAAAAGAGCACTTTTTACGAATCTAACGGTATGCTACTTGATACAATTATTTATTTCAGTATATGTACGCACATTTCCTAACATATTTTTTTCCAGTTTTTGAGTTATTTAAGCAGTAATAATACAAAAAAGTGGTAAAGATTGTAATCAAGTGAAAAGATCGCTAAACTTTAGTTTTAAAGGGTGCATGGTTCACTTTACATACTATCGTTGGGATAAATCTATCGTTTCTGCACATAATATGCTTAAAAGCAACTATAAGTGGATAACATTTCTTCAAGTTAAATAAGTGGACAGTGAAAGCGAATTAGATTGTTATGAAAGTTTACATATTCGCAAATACAAAGACTTGGTAATGAATAATGATGAGGGAGGCGAAATAGGGCTGAAATGAAAACACGTAAAATGATTTTTGCCCTAAGGCGAGTAACTTCAGCGCATTTCCCATGCAATAATTAGTACTTCCCAAAAGACCATAGCTACGTTCGCTGTTTTTCTTTACTAGAGGCATCTATGGTTAATATTTCAAAGAAATATCTTCATAAATAAGGAAGTTGGCACTGCGCAGAATGCGTAAAGACTGCGCATGCGCAATATTTCGATAAATAAGACAATTGATATTTCGCATCGGATGCGCATATTAATCTGATGTTTACAATATGCGATACGTTTGCTTTTACTAAAAGCTTCTTTGGTTAATACTTCAAAGAAATATTTCCATAAATAAGAGAGTTGCTATAGCGTAGTCTGCGCATGCGCAAATTAATCGTCAAGAGTTTTCTTGGTTGAGGTGCCAGAGCTATAAGCTACCGAATGCAAAAAGAACGAACTAAATATCTTGAAAACTGTTGGAGTGTTTAAAGCCTCGGACGGATGGACGGGCAGACGGACGGACGGACAGAGAAAGTGGCCGCATAGCGCACCCAACTTAGTTGGAAAATGCGCTAAAAATATAGACCCGTCCCACGGTTACCCTGCATTAGTAGTTGTCGAAACACAGTACCCAGCTAAAGAATAATTTCTATGCAGAGTTTAAAAGCTCAATTACGCGGCCTATACAGGTACCGCGCCTTGTAAAAGCATCTAAATCTGTAGATGCAAGCGATTATAACCCCAAAATGCAATGCGACTGTCATAAAAAATTCTAAGCAGTAGGTATAAGCTCCCTGCTCCAAAGATGTTTGTACTGCAGTTAACACTGCAGTGTTACATGCCATAAGTGTTTACAATGAAACCATGTATTTTACTATTTCTTCATAAACAAATTACATTGTGTTAATTGACATTGTTAATTTAATATAACTATAAAAAGTGTATTTTGTTATTCAATATTTCATAAGTATTTGTAGTTTAAAGTAAAGCCAATTATGAGTTGTCAATCACATGTTAAGAATATTAATACGGTTAGTATTAGCTTATTAGCAGCATACCTCTAATGAAAATGGTCGTTATGTATTTGTTGATTTTCATATTAGATACTCGAAGTAATGTTTGAAGTGCTTTATAGCACAGCCAATAAGATCATTGTAATTCTCACAGATTGACGTACTGAGCGTAGTGTAATGAATGAAATTAACAACATAAAAAGAACACATACTTGTATTTTTAAACGTTTTCTGGTTCTTTTTATCTCTGTGTTTACAGGCACCGTATATGTCTTCCTATTAGCCCACTAGTTAAACATCAAACTACAATATTCAAATGATGTTTGTAAAAGCAGTTTAATGTCTTGTCTAAAAAGCGGTTAACATATTTTCAATTTTCACACCTGTACTATTTCGAAGAAGTTAATTATGAAGAGTACACCATCGTAGATTTATGAGTTTACATACAAATTAATACGCACGTTCAACTTCGTTTTTGAAACCTTTTGTCCTCGTACCTGATATTTACTTCTTTCAAGATGCGTGAGATTTTTTACACTAATTGGTATCCCCACAACATTTTGATTCAGTCGGATATTACTTTGTGTGTATGCAATTTGCGTTTTTAAGATTTTTAATGGTTCAAATTTAGTCATAGCAAAATTGCTATTTGCTCATAAAATAACATATTTAAAAGAAAAGTACTGAATGCTTTTATTTCGAACTAAGACAGATGGAAACACTCGACTCCCGTGACCGCTGAAGTCAAAAATTGAATCAAAATTACCAAAAAACTTTCTCAATACGTTTGTTTTTTGAAATCTAAATGTTTTTTTTTTATAATTATCTAATTCATTGTTATTATTTACTTGCGTAAACATGGATATTCAACTTCTATGCATAATTTCGATTGAAAATCGTAATTTTTTAAAAGAAAAAAATCACAAAATGAAAATATATTTATTACTATATTATAGGGATCTACAAACTCAAGAGAAACAGTTGTAATGAAACGAGATCTAATATTAAGTTTAATTCTTGTAAAAAATGACTTAGGTACCTACCCTTCAATACGCGTGGAATATAAACTTG